GCTTCAGGGGAAAGAGCTCCGTGCCCTGCGAGATGGGGTATTTGTGATTCAGGGGAGCAGCTCCCCACCTGCCTCAGTGCCCCGAGCAATGCCCGTGGAGCTGGGAGTGCTGGCAGCGGGCAGGATGGAGCCTTAGTAGCCCTTGCAGCCCCTCTCCCATCCTCACACCGACAGCACGTGTGTCTCTCGAGGGACACCGTGTGCCGCACAGCACAAGGATCCGTGGCCTTCAGTCCGTGGGATGGGGGGTGGCAGCACCTTCTTGGCCTTAAAGACCGCTACGAGCACGATATCTTCTTGTGGGGTGAGGAGGATTTGGGGGGCTGCCCCTGTTCTCAAGCCACACCGACTGATGCGCTTGCCCCCTCCCTTACGTCTCAGCAGCACCTTAAAAGCAGTTTAACCTGAGTGGGAATCTGGTTAGGTTGAATAAACCATGAGTGCCCTCCTCATTAAAGGAAGCTTATAGACTGAATTAAAATCCTTCTGCTTAATAAATTAGGTTAAAGTCAGCCCAGATTAGAAAATCCCTATAATAAATCAACCCTGTAGATTCAACCAGCTCTCGACTGCTAGTTATTTTCTCTGGCTGCTTTTAACCCTGTTTCCTCCTTCTCACTGAGCAACAATAACACCGCATCGGGCTCTCGGTCGACCTCTGGACCCCCAGCTCAGCTGCTGGGGGCTACGGGGATGGACGTGGGTGACACAGCACCGTCGCGATAAAGCCCGCACAGAAACAGCACGAACACCACGTTTTGTGTGCCACAAATACAGTGCTGAGGATTTGGAAGGATGAATCATCACACAAAGCAAGAACAATTAGAGATTCATAATCGGGAGAAGGGAAGGCTGGGGTGGGATGGGAAGAGGAAAGAGCAGGGCTGGGATTAGTTACTTCAGAAATATTAATAATGTCTCAAGTTAGTGAAGTACTGCACCCCCAGGCTGGACCAGAGATGTAGAGGGGGGTGGGAGGTTAATTAAAAAAATGCGATTACATGTCACTGTGTCCCACATCCTACACTGACTGCCAGGGAAGCTTTTTTAGCTAATTAAAGGAAAACAATCCTTTACTTTGAGGCCACAGAAACACTTGGCATGACCACGCTGAGCCTCATCTCTGCAGAGGGAAACGTCTCCCTCTCCATGAAGGGGATCCCTCCCTTCCTCAACCAGGAAACACGGCCCGGGAGGGCAAACAGAGTCGGTTTGTGGCAGAAGACAGGGGAAGATCCAGGAAAAATCACCCTCCCTTTGAGACATTTAAGACCAAGGAAGCATTTCCCCCACTATCATCTTGTCTGAGCAATGGGGACCGGTCCCGTGCTGATGCTGGAGAGCATTTAGCAGCACAGCCGTTGAAGACGGGGAGCTGGGGCAGCTAGTTAACGGCCTAGACGTCAACACACCCTTTTCACTGACCTGGGTTTCTGAGGGGACTCTTTGGGCTCCTTTGAACCAAACCAACCGCTGGTTTTATTCCTCTCATCTCCCCCTGCCATCACGTGGACGGATGAGCCGTGGGAGGGTCCCACTTTCTCCCCCTGGCCTTTGCCCCCCGCGTCGCTCTTGTTGCCCCCATGGAAGAGGCCGCTCTTCGCTTTCTTGTCTTCCTTCCTCATTTCCTCGGGTTGTTTGTCCTTCGTCATTTCCGTGGAGAAGACCATGGGTGCCGCAGCTTGAGTCGGCTTGTTCTCTAAGCGACTGTTTTCTTCCATCTTGGCTCGGCCCAGATGGTTACTGAGAGTGACGGCTTTCGTGGAGACCTTGAGCTCTTCTTGCAAGGCTAAGCTGGGAGGAGACGGGATGAACCTGGGCTCGTCTCTCTGCTGTGTCCTCTCAA